TCGGAAGATAACCCAGTCAGAAAGAAATCGTCATGGTGCGTCTGCTACTATGGTGGTACAGATATGTCGGCAGGCTAAGATCACGCGGCGTGTATGGCATATTGCAAAACTATATGACATGGTCAATGCGGCGTTCGTGTGTGACGTTTCAACGTGACTACCAGGCGCAAGCGACAGGGACGTGCAGAGCAGAAAATATACGGAGGCGCAGAGCCTGAGGCTGCATTCGGTTGCATTGGCGACAGGGCCATATCGTCAGCTTGTGCCAAGATGCCCTACGACAAAGTCTCTTAATCTAGCTATGATTGCGGAACCGAGGCTTAATCTCTAGTTCTTCACGTACAGATCGACATACTCGTCGATGTCCATGTTGTCAAGTGTCTTACTGTCTTGGGCCAAAGTGACGAGTTTGTCGACGTGGTCCGCCGGGTAATGCGGACCGAGGTGCCTCTTGTATTTGGCGAGGATCTCAGGCTTGGCCTCTTCTCGTCGCAGACGGTGGCCAAGAGGAGCCTCAACTACTTCCTCATCCAGCACTGTGCCATCCTTGAGCGTGACAGTGAGCGCATTAGAGATGGTGCGCTTTTCTGGGTCGTGGTAGTCCTTTGTGAATTGGGGGTCCTCGACACAGCTGATTCGCTGTCGCAGCGACTCAACTAGCGCTGAAGTCGCAGCCTCGCTATCATCTGGATAGTCGGTGGCTTCGAGGCGGTTGAAGACGAACATGGTGGCTACCATGTACTGCCACATGGTCAGCGTCAGACCTGAGTCATCGAGTGTAAGCTTACCTGAACGCAGTGATCACGATCTGCGAAATTCTCCATGGGCTTGAACTGCTTATCGATGATCCGCACGCATGCTTCGTGTGTCCGGTTTACCACGCGTTCAATGTCTTCGGCGGTCTTACCCATGGCCTTTAGCTTCTTGTTGAGGCGCTGGGCGGCTTCGACGGCGGTTTGGGAGTGGAACTCAGCTGTCACCAGGATCAATTTGTGCCACGAAAATGGAAAAGGATCCAATTGTAAACTCACCGGGATACGAGACCTTGAAGAGTACGTTCTCCATGACGTAACTGCCGTAGCCTCTTTGGAAGGTGAATGGCTTTCCGCCAAAGTTGACATCGTAGAATCCCCAGGTAGGAGCTGAGAGCACAGTGGGGAGACCTGGCTCCCCCTTCATGACCTTGAGCACGAGATTGACGGCCGTCTGGCAAGCGTCACCAGCAGCCCACGACTTGCGAGACATGGTATTCGGCGAGTGCCTGTATGTGCGCATCGACTGGCCATCGACAAAGGCCTGCGAGATGGCGTCACGCGTCTGAGCCTCGCTGAGGCCCATCATCTTGGATACGACAGCAGTCGACGCAAGCTTGACAAGAATGACGTGGTCCAGTCCGACCTTGTTGAAGGAGTTCTCTAGGGCCATGCAACCCTGAATCTCGTGCGCCCTGATCATGGCTTCGAGCACATCTCTGACCTTGAAGATCTTGCCATTGCCGAGATTGCCTCCAGCCTTGTTCGTACGAGTGATCCAGTCGGCAGTTGCAAGAATAGCTCCCAGATTGTCAGAGGGGTGGCCCCACTCGGCAGCTAGCCAGCAGTCGTTGAAGTCGAGCCAGCGGATCATGGCGCCAATGTTGAAGGCTCCATTGATAGGATCAAGCTGGTAGTTGGTACCGGGCACCTTTGTGCCATTGGGAACAACGGTTCCTTCGACGACAGGACCCAGAATGTTCCTGCATTGCTCGAAACGCAGACCCTCGAGACCACAACCCAGCGTGTCGATAAACACCCAGCGAGCCGTGTCATACTTTTCGACAATCAACGTTAGCCTTTATCCTCGACAGCGACATTCACAGTGGCTTACCGCGAGCTCCGAATCGATGGGAGTGTTGTGGATGTAGCTGGCCATGTCCTTGATTTCAGGATCATACTCGCGCTTGGCGAGCGCCTGCTTCACTTCGCTCTTGAGGGTTGTCATGGTGGAGAAGGACGATGCAGCTACGGCTCTGGAGGTTATTGGCAGTGAGGGAAGAGCACGGAGAGCAATTGGCCTGGTGGCTCTGGTGACAACGCTGGCTCGCGATCGAAGGCTTCGTGAAGCGGTACTGCACAGGTTGCGACTGAAGGCCGACATGTCTGATTAGCTTCTGTCGTGCCGGACGACGTCAATGCAGCTCTGGAGAAGAGGGACAGTCGTACTAGACGCTTTTGAGGGAACTGACTGGCTTTTGAACAGGTTCAGTGCACAGGTTGAGAACGCTCGGCTTGCAGAATTCGGGAGGATGGATACGCCGTCGTCAACCGAGGCTGAGCATATCCGTATGCCGCGCACGACTCGTGTTTCACGACGCCAGCACAGCAGTAGATTTGACGGATATCCTGCAATTGATGCCTCTTCTTCCTTGCCATTGCCATTGCGCTACTAGAGCTTCCCTACATACAAATTCATACTCGGATCGCAGCCACTTTACCGCACTGCACACCAGCGTGTTACCCCGCATCATCCCGCGGCCGCCTCAGCTCGGCTACGCTACCCACGCCCGCAAATCTAGGCCCCCCACACGAACACAACCATCCGTCCAGACTCAAGAGCCGAGCACTGAAGAATATACATGCATTGAACATTCTTGGTATCAACTATCCTTCCACTACTACTTCCACTACTACTTCCACTACTACTTCTACTACTACCACCATTTCCTCAACTAACTAACTACGGCTTTGCTCCTCCCCATCCTCTTCGTCTGTCATCCCCATCGCTATCACTATTACAATCCCCTTCTCTTTTCATGCTGCCCGTTTTGGCTCATCTTGCACTCTCCCCACCAAATTATAACTATATACAGCCAATGGGCCAGCAATGCAACAGCCTCTCAATGACTCGGCGCTTTGCGTAGGGATTGGATTTGGATATGAATGAGCTGCTGAGTGGCTTTATTTACCAGTCATCCTTGTCCGACTCGTCGTCTGTAGAAACATTAGCACATCATCATTATGCTACCCAAGAATATAATCAACTTACCACTGTGACTAACTTTCGACTTCCGTGCCGCAAGTGCACTAGCCAATGCATTGGCTAGGCCAGCCTCTCCACCACCCGAGCCAGAGCCGCCCCCTGAACCACTTGGAAGTTCTTTTCCAGGGACTGCTGCCGCACTGCGATCCTTCTTCTCTGAATCCGAAACCTTCTTCAATCTTGCTCCTCCACGAATATCGGCTAACAAGCCATCCCTGCCAGCTGGGGCCTTGGGTAAAGACGCACCGCCTGGTGGTGCAGGGCCTGGTGGTGGAGGAGGCGGTGGTGCTGGGGGACCGCCCATTGGAGGCAATGGAGGTGGGGGTGGTGCGCCGCTGCTGGGCATAGGGGGAGGTGGTGGTGCACCACCGCTGGGCATTGGTGGAGGGGGTGGAATCGATCGTCCTGGCATGGGCGGCGGCGGAGGCGGAGGCGGTGGCGCAACATTGGACGTTGGTGGTAGCGGAGGTGGAACTGGTGCTGCTCCTGACGGCGGAGGAGGCGCAGGACGCGAAGCGGACGGTGGTAGCGGCGGAGGAGGCGGTATGTTGTGAATCGGCGATGGAGTCGGTGCAGCTGAGGTCTTTGGAGGGAGCGGTGGAGGGGGTGCTGACGGAATGTCTCTCGCTGGGGGAGGTGGTGGTACTGGTCCTCGGCTTGGAGGAGGGGGTGGTGGTGCTGAAGGTACGCGATTGCCTGTGAAAGGCGGAGGCACACCGAACTTGGCTCCACCCGATCTCTCCTCGTCGGGCACGGGCGTCTTTGGCGGTCGAGGCGGTGGAGGAGGACCCGGGTTCGCTGCATTGGATGAGGCTCGCGCTCGGTTTGGCGGTGCAGGAGCCTGGTTTGCAAACTTGCCTGCTTCTGCAATTGGCGGAGGCGCTCTGAAGACTGGCTTGGGCGGCCCTGGGGGAGGTGTAGCTTCTCGAGTTGGCGAGTGTGGCGCTGGACTTTGTGACGAGGTTCGGTTGGCAGATGCATCGTGTCGCGTGCGCCGGGCTGGCGGGGGCTGTGGCGGAGGTCCGCGTTTCGATGCGGTTGTGCTGCCCGTGTGCTGGGGGCTGAGGGGCGCACCCGGCGGAGGTGGCGGAGGAGGAGCCCTGGATCGGCGCTGGTTTTCGTCTTTGAGCTTTTCTTCCGACTTCCTCTGCTCAATGTACAGTTTGATGAAGTCGGCATTCTCTTCAATCTGGTCCTCTGTGATGCCCATGGCCAACAGTTCCTTGAGCAAGGGCTGCCATGAGGGGTCTGTGGTATCGATCGCGGAGCTTCGTGCGCTGGTTGCGTTGGAATGGCTGCTTTGCACGGGCGAGGTGACAGAGGGCGGAATGATGGAATGCGCGGGCGGAGCTGCGTGGGAAGAACTTCGGTGTCCAAATATGCCGCCCAAAAGGCCATGGCCATGGCCGCCGCTCTTTCCGTTTGTCGAAGCTATACTACTGCCCACGGTCGCGCTAAAGGGCTTGCTCTTTGTGTTCTTGTGGGCGTTCTTCTCGCGGTCGTCGAGCTTCTTCTTGAAAGTCCGGGCCTCCTTCTCGTCGGCAAAGGACAGGCCGGCCAGACAGTCCTCGAGCTCAAAGGTGTGGAAGAAAACGCGGTCCTGGTTGTAGGAGAAGGGGTCATAGATCTCCTGGTCCCAAATGACGCCTCTGGTTTGGGGCTGCCTGTGTCAGTCTGAGGCATTTAGGTGGAGTTGGCGGAGCGTACCGAAATGTCGACCATCTTGAGCCAGAAGGTATTTCCGACCAGGTCGTTGGCCAGCACGACGGCGCCCTGTAGGCCTGTGTAGGTCCATCGGTGCCGGTCGGGGTAGGCGATATACAGCTTGGCGACGGCGACGGCGTGGATCTTGTTGCCAGACTTGGGGACGGTGCGCTTGACCATTTGCTTGTCCTCGTCGGACAGAATGGACGGCATTGTGGCGGGGGGTTACAGGTGGTGTATGTTGGCGGTGCAGAGGGAGTAGACGGTGTAGAGTCGTCCTACAAGCTTGGCTGGTCGAGGGCAGCCGTCGGGCGCTGCTGTGGTCCCTTCAGTGGGGGGCGTGGTCCTCGCGCAAGAATACTCAGGCGGCACATGTAGCAGCCAGCAGTCGCTGTATGTGTTGCCCGACAGTGCAGTGCTTTGTGGGCAAAGAATATGGCGGCAATGTCGAGACTGCCACGGTGGTGTGTAGAATACGGTGGAGCCTGGCAATGGGGAGACGTCAGACTTGAGGGCGCTGATGCCGCAAGCTAGTCACTACCATCCCGACCACGCGGGAGCCTAACCAACCACCACGAAACCCATCGAACAACCTTGTCGCTCAGCTGAAGAAACCGCTGGCGTCCATCTTGGTTCAGGAACAAGCGGCACGTCCATCAATGGGTCTGGGAAAAGGATGCAATCCCAGTATGCGCGACACATCATCTCTCCAGCCTGCGCACGCGACATCGCAGAGCCTTCTCTCCCAATGCCATCTAATTACACCCCAAGACGCAGCCCAAGATTGCCCTCGGCTTCCTTACCCTGTTACCTGCGACCCAGTATTCCAAACCAGGTCGGTTGCACTATAAATTCAATCGTCATGCAAAAAGTATCCACGCTTCCGACACAGTGACGTAGCCCTCTAGGATATACCCAGAGAAAAAGACCCGTGGGGGCCAGGCTCTTTGCCATTGAGTATACGTACTACACACCTCACTCGCTGCATTGACCCTGGCTGTGCACGTTGTAAAATAAGCTCCCGAGAGAAGAGAACACCACCTTTACACGCACACGGACCGCTCTACCTGTCTGGCCCCCATGTTGATGGTCGCTCGAGCGCCACCAATGCCGACCTGCCGAGTTGGTTCAGCTGCACAAGGCCTCCACAGCTATGATAACCCGCGTGCATTCGGGGCCCACACAGGTGGTGTGAGCAGGAATGAACCTCGCAGTACCGACATGGAAACCACTCACCCAAAAACGCCACATCTTTGCCCCATGTACTCGACAATCAACTGATCATGGACGACTTGTTCGAGGGCTACATGGTGCTTGACGCGATAGGCGACTTTCTTGACGACCACTCTCTGACCGATCGTACCAAACAGCCCGTAACAACACCACAGTCGCAACCTGGTGCACAAACCTCTACCGGCTCGCTCACGCCCATATCTGGTCCAGCTCGGAATAGCCAAGGGTACTTATGCCCTCGTTGGGTTCTTGTGACCGAACTGTCTGTAGCCATGTCCTCGACCTATCTAACAGACGTAGCGAGGCTCCGAAAGGCGCACGAAAACGACGAGGGCACAACAAGAGCCGTCTAGGCTGCATCCCTTGTAAGAAAAGGAAAATAAAGGTATTCCTTCTCCACCCATGTAACCATTTGTGATCCTAAAAGTTGTTACGTAGTGCCAGGAGACATGGCCGTCCTGTGTAAATTGCGACAGGCGTGCGCGTAGGTCACCTAGCGTTTGATGTGCTGCATCATGACTGAACACCAAATAGTCGTCTGCAGATATCCAGATGTATTTAAACATGCACAGCACGAGCTTCCCAGGCCCAAGCCGCCGAGTCCACGCCAAATTGTCCAGCTATCGGATAAGCCCATCATGTATAGTCCAGACGATATGCAACTCTTTCATCACTACCTCACTGCCGCATATCCTTGCATTCCGAGCAACAACGAGCAAGTCTGGACTCGGCATATTCCTCTCAAAACTTACCAGGTAGTTACACTTTGTACCCAATGCAGACGCCAAGCATTCACAGTCGCTGATTGGCTTAGTATCCTTACCTCATGAATGCTATGCTCGCTTTAGCAGGATCCCATCTTGCCATCCAGATTGAAAATCCAAACAACCGCCTGGCACTTTGGCATAGACAGAATGCCATCATAGGGCTAGAGGAGGCCTTTGCCCGATGGCCACCGTCTCCAGACGAATCTCACGTCATGTTCGCAGCATCCTTCTTGTTATCCCTACAATGCAGTTACCTGAACGACGGCTTCTTGGAGCACTTCATCTCCTTGAGAGGGTGCTCCCTACTGTCTCAACTCATCGTTGCCGAAGGGTTCAACGGCCCTTTTGTAGAACAAAAAGGTGTAGACCTAATACCCGTCGACACAGCATCACACCAATACTTCGGGGTCGGTCAAGATATCCTTCGTGAAGCCTTGCTATCCCTCAAAGGTTTTTCAAAGTTGATGACCCCAGACGTCCACCCCATTGAGAAAGCCGTCGTCGGACAAACCGTACTAACACTTCGATATCTACTTTGTCCTGATGCCCCGCCAGAAGGCAGAGGAACGACAGTGCCAAACATCCAAGGCACCACCGATCCTTCGCAATCGACCGAGCCCCTGAAATCAGTTGCTTCCACGAACCCCTTACTCCCATCTAGCATGGCAGACGTATTCCACGAAATCGACTGGGATAACATCACCACAACGCCCGCTGGCGCCCCTTCCCCCCTTCGCTCCTTCCAAGGAATGATGGCAATCCTGACCATATTCGCTACCTGGCCCCAAGAGGCCCTCATCCACATCTTCGACTCAAATAATCGCCTCGGCAACATCATCCTTGCGCACTTTTCCGCCATCCGCTTCATACTCGCGCCAATGACGGCACAGCAGAGTGCGTTGCGGACCCCGGCACGGGCAATTGTACAGTGGTCAGCCAAGATCATTGCCGTCATTGACGACTACGACAAAGACGGAGAGTGGTCTCATTACGTGGAGTGGCCGAGGAAAATCCTCAAGTGTGTGGAACGGGGTCTTGAGACGCATCGCGGGTTCACCATGGGCGACGTACGAGATTTGTTTTTGCGCGACCCCGGTGTATTCAAGGAGGGACGAGCACCAAGGGGTTGGAAAAAAAAGAATACCGGTTCTTCTTCTCGTAAAAAAGAACTTACACATCTCTCACCACATCGTCGTCCAAATCCTCTCTAGACAAACCGGCTCCACAACTCGAGCTTCCACATCACACTCACACTCACAACCCCCCCATGCACATACCCCCCAATCACCAAACCAATGCAACTCCCCCGGCTCCAACAACATAGCAACCGCCAACGAATGCGCCGCCGCACCCCCC